CCCCATCTGAGGAATGTTAAAAAGCTCCTTGAACGCCTGAATAATTACGGTATACGATCGAAACTACAATGCACCCGTCATTCATGTTCATGAGTGTAGAATTGTCTGCAGAAGCAACCTTGCGCACCAGAGAGAAAATCAAGGCTATACCCTAAAATATTCCACCAAGCTTTGGGCCTTACTGGGCATGGTAAACCACCAGAGGAAATTTATTCCTAATCTTAGCACTATACTGCGTTCCTCAAAGCTGCTTCTTGAAAATAATCAGAAATATATCATTAAAATTTCCTTATTTTTATTATGTTATTTTGGTTCAACAAAATATTTGAGGATGTATATTAAAATAAAACACGATTAGCGTGTTATTTTTGTGGATAAACAAGGCTAATTACGTTGTCGATTTGATTACTTCATTTTAAAACATAGTCAAAAACTATTTCGAGACGATTACCCGTTTGAATAAACTAAAGCCCAAGATAGATCAATTTGCGGCACGAGTATACTTTCATAGATTTTAATTTTATTAGAGTTGAGGGCAATTACATTATCACTCACCCACTTCAATGCACGGTTGCCGGCCACCTGCATGTCGGATTTATTTATTTATTTGTTAGTTTCGCCATATTACAAGACACAATGCACAATACTACAACAAGAACAAGAATAATATACATGACCATAGGGAGGGTGACCGCAACAGCGTGAGACAATTACTGCGGGCCCGAATCACTCGGATGTTAGAATCTATCTGATACAATTTACGTTCAAACTATTACACAGTCAAATTACATTATCGTCTAATAAAAATGACTTTGTGTTACTGATAAATGAAGAAAGGTCATTGATGTACTTCAGACACAACAAAAGTTCATAAATAGAGCCCTGGAAATGTGTTGAATAAACATTTATTGAGGGAAATTTGTTTGAAACGGTCCGACAAAAAAGAGGTGAAAGAATTAAAAATAAAGGAACTTATTGCCAAAGTTAGCGATAAGAGTTTTTATTGCTTCCCGGAATAATTTATAGTTGATATTAATTATGCGAAATAGGTTATTTGCGCGCGCATGTTAATTTAAGTATAGTCACGTGATTGGAAATGCAACGACGTACAAGAATGCGTAGCCCTGCAACCGTGCCAGTGGTGTTCGAATTAAGTTTTACGCGTAGGTGTGACATACGAAATTTAAACTCATGTCTTCTAAGTTATTTAAACACAAAAACTTAGTATTAACATGGATCTGTAGTTAGCTTTATCCGGTGATTCACCCTCCTTTCCATACACGAACGCAAATTGCCGGAAGTGACAACGAAATTCCACATTTTCAAGAGAATTCTCAAAACCGAATTTATAGATATTCTCATATTGCCAAAATGAACAGGTGGGAAATTTGTCTGAGCATGCGCGAGCAAAATGAGCCACGCAATTACGTGGAATACACGCAACGCGTGTTTACAAAAAGGCACAATCGTGTAAATATTGCCAAATGTGTGTACAAAATAAATGACTGTTTTATGTTGAAAATGGACATGATCTAAATTAATAATACAGAATTTTTTAGTGAAGTTCTATTTCAGTACCCTGCCATTGTTTCTGGTGGGCTGTCCGTGTGCATTCGATCTGAAACAGTTGCTACTTTGCTGTCGAAATATTTCGAATGTTTACATGAAAATAGAGGCAAGTCATGCATTTTACAACCTCGTAAACTGTATCAGCCCCTATTTTTACGCTTATACCTAAAATATCAAATAAAAATACATGAAACATAGAACATTTTTAGAAAGTTTTATCGTGAGGCCACGGCCAGTTTTTAAAATATCTTTATTTCTGTTCCGGTCATCACGAAAATTACACTAAAGCCGGGCTTGAATATACAACAAATTTTGAATCTCATCAAGTACAAAAATATTTAACGTGTAACCAAAATATGCTCATGAAATCGAAATTAATAGCTAAATTTTCAAACTAGACCCTTCTCGAAGCAGTTTTCATGAAGGAAGTTCACATTTCGGCCTTTGATTCTTGGCAAAAATTTGACCACAACACGTGCGAAGCAACTGGGTCTCAAAAACTCAGCTAAAACATTGTGGGCCCCTATTTTCCTGACGATTTGTTTTATACCTACAAACGCCGAAAAGTTTTTTCTTTTCATTTAGTTAAATTTGAAATTGAGGCCACGGGCCATTTTTGAGAAAATACAGTTCAAAGTCAAGCTATTTTTACATATTTTCAAAATTTGTCAAATTTCGCGAGCTTGTATTTTGAACTTAGACAGCTGAAGTTACATTAAGAAACATAGGATGGAAAATTTGAAGCATATAAAGTTAATTTCAACTTACATTTCATTCTCATATCACGTCTTTCTTCGTTTATTACGGTTTTAAACAAGCCACAGATCGACGTATACGGTATTTACTCCCATGTTCACGTCGCCATATTAACTTCTTCCAATCATTCGATTACAAAACAAATCATCCCAAAACAAAGAATTCATAGTCGACTTTCAAAAGAATAACCGTTAATTTGTAAATCGTTGAATGGAAAGGGAAAAATCGTCAGCTAAAACAGCTTCTTGCTAACTTTTTGCTTTGTTTTGAATGTAAATGCAATGAGCTTTGTTTCTGCCCGAGATTTTTTGGTCAGCGACGACAAATTTCCTACCTGTTCGTGCTCATATCATCTCAGCCTTGCTTCTCTCACCTTCTCTGCATTATCTATACCACCACACATCTTCTGATCTCTTCATTTCATAACGTGACCAACTCTCTTCATCTCTTTTTACGTGTCCATATCATCTCAGCCTTGTTTTTTCTTTTCATTTAGTTATATTTGAAATTGAGGCCACGGGCCATTTTTGAGAAAATACAGTTCAAAGTCAAGCTATTTTTACATATTTTCAAAATTTGTCAAATTTCGCGAGCTTGTATTTTGAACTTAAACAGCTGAAGTTACATTAAGAAA